GATTGAGCAGGAGAAAAGTGGGGTGCAGAACTCAAATTCTAGTAAGAAGACTAGACTTAATGGTCTAACTGAGACTGGAGGAACCCTGGAAAGCATGCCCCACGGATTCTGTATCAGCCCAGAACTAAAACAATTTCTGAGGCCAACTCTTCAGACAGGGATTGGAGTGGACTGTGGGACATAAAGTGATACTCATGAGGAGTGTGCCTCTTAGCTCAAGTAGATCCAAGAATCTAAACGGGTAGCTTTTTCCAGAGGTGAGATGGGAAGGCAGAGAGGGTTAGGAGCTGGTTGAATGGACGTGGGGAATTAGGGATGGAAAGGAGGAGTGTGCTGTCACAGTATGGGGAGAGCAAGTAGAGTCACATAACAATGTATGTATAAATTTTTGTATGGGAAAAAAAAGAGATTGCTTTGTAAAGGAACCCTAAAAAAAAAAAAGAGCATTTCAAGATCTATCCTGAAGTACAATGCTGTCAGTGATAGGATAATATCCATAAGCCTACAAGAAAGACCAGTTAATATGAGTATTATTCAAATTTCTGCACCAACCACCAAGGCCAAAGATGAAGAAACTGAAGATTTTTACCAACTTCTGCAGTCTGAAATTGATCAAACATTCAATCAGGGTGCATTGATAATTACTGGTGATTGGAATGCAAAAGTTGGAAACAAAGAAGAAGGATCAGTATTTGGAAAATATGGCCTTAGTGATAGAAATAATGTTGGAGATCGCATGATAGACTTCTCCAAGACCGACAACTTCTTCATTGCAAATACCTTTCTTCAACAACGTACACGGCAACTATACACGTGGACCTTGCCAGATGAAATACACGGGAATCAAATCGACTACATCTGTGGAAAGAGACAATGGAAAAGCTCAATATCATCAGTCAGAACAAGGCCGGGGTGACTGTGGAACAGACTATCAATTGCTTATATGCAAGTTCAAGTTGAAACTGAAGAAAATTAGAACAAGTCCATGACAGCCAAAGTATGACCATGAGTATATCCCACCTGAATTTAGAGACCATCTCAAGAATAGATTTGATGCGTTGAACACTAATGACCGAAGACCACACGAGTTGTGGAATGACATCAAGGACATCATATGCGAAGAAAGCAAGAGGTTATTAAAAAGACAGGAAAGAAAGAAAAGACCAAAATGTATATCAGAAGAGACTCTGAAACTTGCTCTAGACCGTCGAGCAGCTAAAGCAAAAGGAAGACATGCTGAAGTGAAAGAGCTGAACAGAAAGTTTCAAAGGATGGCTCTAGAAGACAAAGTAAAGTCCTATAATGACATGTGGAAAGACCTGGAGATAGAAAACCAAAAGGCAAGAACACGCTCAGCATTTCTCAAGCTGAAAGAAAAAGTTCAGGCCTCAAGTTGCAGTATTGAAGGATTCTCTGGGGGAAAATATTAAATGATGCAGGAAGCATCAGAATATGGAAGGAATATGCACAGAGTCACTGTATCAAAAAGAATTGGTCGATATTCAACAGTTTCCAGAGGTAGCGCATGATCAGGAACCGATGGTACTAAAGGAAGAAGTTCAAGCTGCACTGAAGGGAAAGGCGAAAAACAAGGCTCCAGGAATTGACGGGATACCAATTGAGACGTTTCAACAAACAGATGCAGCGCTGGAAGTGCTCGCTCGTCTATGCCAAGAAATTTGGAAGACAGCTACCTGGGCAACCAACTGGAAGAGATCCATATTTATGCCTATTCCCAAGAAAGGTGATCCAACAGAATGCAGAAAATATTGAGCAATGTAATTAATATCACACGCAAGTAAAATTTTACTGAAGATCATTCAAAAGAGACTGCAGTGGTATATTGACAGGCAACTGCCAGAAATTCAAGCCGGATTCAGAAGAAGATGTGGAATGAGGGATATCATTGCTGATGGCAGATGGATCCTGGCTAAAAGCAGAGAATAGCAGAAAGATGTTTACCTGTGTTTTATTGACTGTGCAACGGCATTTGACTGTGTGGATCATAACAAATTATGGATAACCTTGCAAAGAATGGGAATTCCAGAACACTTAATTGTGCTCATGAGGAACCTGTACATAGA